CACACACACACACACACACACACACACACACACACACACACACACACACCCTTCCTGGGCCGGACGGCAGCTGTCTGGGTGGTACATCCAACAGGAAAGTAACAGATGACTGCCTGAGGTGACCCATGCAGGAGTGCTCTGATCAGAGGGGCCTTCCTCCTCCCCCGCCCCACCCTTTTGGAGGACTGATACCACCCTCTTACTCAGAGGTGAATCACGTCTGGTCAGGCTCGCTCCAGAGCTCTGCATAGGCAGACAGCTGCAGACAGGAGGAGTTTCTCCCGGGCCCCCGGGCATCCGTGATGAACTTACCCAAGGGGCAGGGAAAACCACTAGGCTTTGAGCCGGGCCAAGGAGCGGAGGGCTTCAGGGTAGCTAGAGCCCTAGAGACGGCCAGGAAACGCCGTATAAAAGTGGGGGCGGGAGGCGTGGAGTGTGTACCTGGCTGCTTGGCTCCTGCCGGGAGCAGCCCTGCGGCTCCCTTCAGCCCTTCCTGCATCTGCAGCCTTCGCCTGCGAGCAAGACCTAGCAGGCCGGGCTTGGCGTGCCCCCGCCTGCCCGGCGCGCTAGCCTACGCCGCGACGCTGCGGCCCGGGGACGCGGACCTCGCCTGTGCGCTGGGCGGCGGGCTCCCCGAGCTCACACCGGCCGCCGCGAGGTCCCCGCGGCGTCGCCCGGGCCCAGCGCAGCCCGGGGCGCTCCCGCGAGAGCCCTGCTGTCCACGCGCCGGCTGCGGACCGGACGCCGCGGGCTCCCCGGCAGGTGAGCTCCCGGGCTGCGGAGGGAGCGGGGCGCCGGCTGGGACGCGCGCCGCGGGCTCTGGGGAACCCGGCCCCCGTCTTCCGTGCAGCCCCGTGCAGTTCAACCGCTGCTGCGTTGAAATAATTTCGTCTGGGTGTGATCACCTTCTCGGGCCCGGGAGTCTGAGCGCTCAAAGAAACTTCTGTCCAGCGCGGGCAAGGGGCAGGTGGCTGGGCACCCAGTAAGCCGAGGACCCCAGACACCCTCAAAACCCCACCGTCCCGCTTGTAGTCCAGGATTTCTTCCCTTGAACCGGGCGGGGGCGACCCTCCCCCGGGAAGGTAAGTCCCAGGTGCCTTGTGGCCTCCTATTTTGGTCTCCTTGGGTGCACTTCCACCGGTTCAAGCTCTGCACACGTTACAACTTGCTGAAGATGAGAACCGAAATGAGATAGAGGAAAGGAATGTGGGGAAACCAGGTTGTCTTAATTTTAGGAGGAATTTTCGTTGTAAAGGATCTGCCCATTGTCTATACGAATGTTTTAATCGCTTGGGTCAGGAAAATTAAGGACCCTGTGTCTGAAGGCCCAGGAAATGAGCAAAAAGAAATCATCCTTTAAAAAGATAAACTTATTTACTTACATGCCTCAAAAAAATAGAATTTTGGAGATTTTAAGTCTTTTCCATGTCGAGTGGTGTGTGTGTGTGTGTGTGTGTGTGTGTGTGTGTGTGTGTGTGTGTG